GATTACTAACCGGTTCGCAGGGCTTTGCTCGTAACGCTTCTTTTAAAAAACGGCCCTTTTCAGGGCCATAATTTTGTAGTTTATTGTAAATATTATATTATATTTATTGTAAATATTAATGTGTGAACATTCTAGCTTATTTTAAAGCTTATTGTGTTATTTTGAATTGTTACATTCGTGAAGGAAGCATTAAGTTGTGAAAGTGTTAAGAGAAACACGAAGAATGACTGGACTGGATGATAAACTGCATCTGAAGCCGTTTTGGAAGGAAGTGAAAAGTATCAAGAAAGCAGTATGGCATGTATAGAAGATATAAATGGTGAATCATTATGGAATGGTCAAACTGCAAGTAAAGGACTGAAGATATTGGTGAGAAAGAAACTGGGAAGATTTGAACTGCAGTTAAGTCCCAAATTTTGATTCATCAATTACTTTTTGAAAGATCTACAAATTTACTAACATTATTTTTAAAAAAACTATTTTTGTCAATGTATTCTCTGTTTTGCTTACGAGCAATTCTTGGAAATGTGTCATTTTTATTTTCTGAATCTACACAGTAAAAGAAAAAAAATTTATCTGTGCAGTTTTCGAAATGGACTTGCATGCATCATGGTGCTTGTATATGCAAATATTTATGTAAAAATGCATTATGTAATATAATAAATGTTTTGCGTTCCTTAATGCTGTGTTTGTATTCCTTTCTTAAACGTTTAAACGTTAACAGTAATATTAAAAATATACACTTCCTTTTCTACAAAATCTTTTAAAAGAATAATTTTCTAGAAAAGACTTAAGGGTGATACAACCACAAGTAAATTATAACCAAATCTGTAGATATCAAACCTTTTTAGATATCAAGCACCAAACTTTTACCAAGCAAACGTTTTTGTTACATTTAGGCATTAATAATCCAGCCAAATATCTAGAAAGGTTATGTTATTCGTTCTTTAAATACAGTACATCTGGTTGACAGTTTTCTGTCGACTACGTTACTTCAGATTTCTTTCAATATGGAATCATTTTTGTATACCATTTGGTGTTAAAAGCTGCAGATATTTGCGTGCTTAATTGAAAAGTCTGATAAGAAATAAAATTTGTGCGATTCATAAAAGAAATTATAACAAAGCTGCTCGCAGTCTAACTGGACGTACTCAAACTGTAAACCGCAGACCGGAGATGATCCGTCTTATCATTACTTTTATTTTAATTCACAAAAGTATTGGTCTGCGTGATATTAGAATGGGGGGAACTGGGTGTGAGAACATTGCTCTGACGCATGTTGCATCTATTGTTTTTTAAGTGAAACGTTTCCAAACAGAAAAGTCTTTATGTAGTAGCCTATTGATCCCACATCTTACATATAAATTATTGTTAAGAGGATTAGTTAGGCTATGTAAAACATATATGTTTATAATTATAAATTTATTATTTAAATTTATAAACATTTAATCTGAATTTTAAAGTAATTTGATTCTGTTCTCTTTTTAACAAGTTAATCTTGAAAAATAAATCGTGGTTGTCAAATCTTAACTGGTGAATTTCGTTATAGAATGTTACGGTGTTACGGAAGCGTAACTAAACAAAGTTGGTCAAACTGGTCCACGCGGGTCGCCACAAGAGGTAACCACGTGTTAGGAATAATGGTGAGTTCTGAACCGTTTCTACATTCTGGCAGGAGTGCGCGCTGTTTGCAGTAGTAGTTTACGGTAGAAGTCAATGTGGCGTGCTCCATGGTTCAGATAGTTCTGATTTTGTGTCCATTATGTAGTTTTATGAATGAAAATTTACAAGTTGTGAAAACGCACGTCAATATGTATAAGTGTCGTCTCGAGTTTTTTTCGCAGCTACTTTGAATGCTATTGAAACCCATCTTTTAAATTTTCTCTCTAAAAACGCACATTTTAAACTTATAGATCCTGCCATCACGATACTCAATATTACGAGCGTCTTTTTTTTTCACCGTCGTCCGCAAATGTCTACAAACAGCAGCCCAGAGCGACCATTATTAATGTGCGCACCGTAGGGTGTCTTTGCTCTATCACGTGACGCCTGCGAGGTATAGTGCAAACAGAACGAATTCTTCCGCCACGAGAAAAAGTTGTCTGGAAACGTGTCAGAGCTGTAGTCACGTGGGCGACTGACGTTGAAGCCAGGTCACGTGGNACAACAATTTACTACAATTTTACTCTTCTAATTTTAACTTTAGCAAATTCGTTAATTAGGGATGTGTAGTTTAGAGTCGCAGCCAATGTAGATTCAATAGAAATTAATTATAGATTTCTAAGTTTTGTTTGGCTTATTGAACTTCTTAATTAAGTAGTGTTTATTAATTTTAATTTGGAAAAACTTCTTTCCCCACTAGTTACAGTGACAGGGAGTGTTAATAAAATTCTCAGAGCTACAACAGTATTCGAATACAAAGTAATTAAGTTATTTTGGTACTAATTATTTAAAAGATCCAAAGGTTTCATAGAATATGCTAGCATTCGGGATATATCACGCAATTCTTCTTGAAGATCATTTGCATTTATATCTGATTCATTTTCGACCGAAAGTATTGACTGGAGACTGGTACAATAATTTTCTAGCGTTTTTTCACCTAAATCCTTGAGTTTTAAAATGCCATATAAAAACTTCTGAGTGCAGTCATTTCTGAGTGCAATCCATCTTCCACACTTACGTAACCCTCTGCAAATGCTTTGTGCCACTTAAACGTCCGTGTCCCGGCTGCGGGCTCGTGTTGTGTTTTCGTCGACTCTCGTACGAAATTTCTTTGCACGAAACTCTTTTAAATTCCGTCATTGCATTAAGGTGACGGACCGCTTGTACGCACGATAGGGTAAATTGCTCTGGGACAATGGTTCCCAATTAGTGGTACGCGCACCCCTGGGGTACGCGAAATTGCATGAAGGGGTACGCACGGTAATCTAAAATCGGTCGATTTAAAATTTAAATGCATGAGATGAAGCAATAAAAAAAAATAATGGGTGGACCATCAAAAATTCGGCAATTTACAACACGATGTGGAATGCAAAAATTCGTTTATTTATAACTAAAAATATTTTCGAAATTTCATCAAAAAATGCATTTGTGACAATACCTAAATGAAATTCTTGCGCAAGAAACAAAAATTGTACAATTAACACAATTTGTGTTAATAGTACAATTATCATTGTCATCGTGTCAGTGAAGCGGCAATAAAATATTTTCTACCATTTTGCACAACATACCTCTGTGAGAACGGATTTTCGGCCATGGCAAACATGAAAACTAAACATCGTCACCGACTTCAACTCGAAAATGACTTGAGACTGAAGCTGACCAAAAAGCAACCAGATTTTACAAAGTTGTGCAAAGAAAATCGTGCACATTTGTCGCATTAAAATTAAATAACCTTACGTTATTTTCATTATTATTAGAATTGTATTTTAAAGGTAATAAATGTAAAAAAAAAAATATATATTCTATTTGTCACTTGCTGTCTACCCACAGCTTCGCCCGCATTACTGTATATCGAATTTTCTCGTGGGGAGTAAGATATTTTCTCGCAGTAAAATGTAGCCTATGTCCATCTCCAACGTGTAAACTATCTCGTGTAAATTTTATTAAAACCTGTTCAGCGGTTTAGACGTGAAAAGGTGACAGACAGACAGAATTACCTTCGAATTTATAATATTAGTATGGATTAATATGAATTTCTGCTATAAGGGGTACTCGAGTTTGAGCTCTTTCTTGAAGTGGTACGCAGGAAAAACTAATTGGGAACCACTGCTCTAGAACGAAACGAAACTTGTTACGATTTGGGCTCGCGGTCGAATACGAATGCTTTTTACGCATGGCTGCGCTATGTGCGGCGTGTCTTTACTTTTCTGTCGTACAAATACAAATTACACGTAAGAGAGTTTCTTCGTTCCGGTTCGGTCCGTGTCTCTTATCACCTCTATCAAATGGAGTTCGAACTGTAGTGGTGCCTATCATATTTTCCCCCCTCCCTTCGTGAAGGCTTAAATGTGGTGTTTATTTCATACTAAAATATTATTATTTATATGTATTATTAGTAATGTTATGGCAATGTAAATATTCACGTGTTATAATATTTGTCTGTATTTTCTTTTTCTAATTTGTGTTTTGGAATGTAACACAAGGGGGCGCTAAGGGCGATTTGTATATAAGGAATGTAAAAGAAGCATTGGATGATTCGGAGAAAAAGCCAATAGGCTAGAGTCTCCATATTAATAAGAAAGAAAGAAGAAGCATTGGATACATTTTGTCTCTTCGAAGACTTGGTGCTAGAAGGATAAAACGACGACTGAGTGAAAAGGGAAGAGAAAAGTGAGAACTTGGACTGAAGACAACTAGTCTTATTGTATGTATATGTCCCCTACGACCCCGTTCTGGCTGTATTCCTAGTTTTAATATACGATTATCTTTGTTCTTAGTGTTGTCTGCTTTTCTTTGTTTGTTCAAAACACGACACTCCACAAAATGTTCTAGCAATTTCCGGTAGGATCTAACGCCAGCTCTGTCGTGAGTATAATCTTGAAATTTTTCTGCATTAAGTATATCTGAATCCTATTAATATATATATATATATATATATATTTTTTTTTTCTTTACAGAATGAAAAGCTGGCGGTTTTGGTGGTGGCTGCGGCCCAAGAAGATGAAGTATGAAGGGCGTTCTCCTTCCGCAATCGATGAAAAGAGGGTCTTTTCCCCCTTTGAGCGGGGAGAGGAACTCTCTTCCATCGATTGCGGAAGGGGTTCTTTCTTCACGGGATCGCCTTCGCTCATTCAATAT